GTGCTTATCTTTAAAGAACGCTTCTAAACGCAAACATAAATGTGCATAAACGCGTTATGCAAACGCGGCTAAACAGATGTTTTTAACTTACGTTTTCCAGCAGTCAGTTTCCATCGTTCAGAAGTGTCCCGTGTACATGGGGCCTTACACTGTCTTGTTAGTTTTTTTTTTTTAATTTTTTAGAACTGAATGGAAATATAATCTAAAAGGAAAGAACAGTGAGCGCTGGTCCTAAACAGCAGCTGAGCACTCTAAGCAACCGATATATACTTATACAGAATAACATAAAAAACAGTTCAGCGCTAAAGATAGTAGTAATAAAACAGGAATAAGTCCACTGAAAGTCCAGTTCATAGAAACATATCAGGTGACAAGTGGAAATTCAATGTTGGTGATCCGTGAGGAAGTGGCTGAAATATGCACTCACCAGAAAGAAGATATATATAAGCAGTATATATCAAAAGCCCATGGATCCTCAATCCAGAAGAAACAAAGCTGGTCTGGTCACAGAAAGTGGGTCCCTCTTCTAAGGATGCAGCAAAAGATCCAGCAAAAGATCTTCCTCCTCCCAGTTTGGTATTGGTATTGGATTCCAAAGTCAGGGTTCTGCAAACAAAGTGCTCATTTAGTTATTTTTGCATTGTCTGGTGTGGATCCAGGTAGGTTTTCCTTCAAGTTTTGTAAACTGTACATGAAATAGAAGCTGTATTGTGTCTCCAACCATGTACTATATATACAGTATATAGTATAAATGTCTCTTAACAATCCACACAAGTCACCTGGCTTTAGTTTATGGGATCCTTTCAAACTGTTAGGATCTCCTTCTAAGCCTATTATACAGGCTTAATACGGTTTTGGTTCACATATCCTGGAACCTACTAGGATTGCTGCAGTATATGATGGAGATGATATATCATATACTGCTTATATATATCTTCTTTCTGGTGAGTGCGTCTTTCAGCTACTTCCTCACGGATCACCAACATTGAATTTTCACTTGTCACCTGATATGTTACTATGAACTGGACTTGCAGTGGACTTATTCCTGTTTTATTACTACTATCTTCAGCGCTGCACTGTTTTTTATGTTATGAATGGAAATATCTTTTTAACATTGGCAATACTTTTATATATGGTTAATGCAATGTAAATATTGTTTTCAGGGTAAATGGTCTAACTACTTCGCCTCCAGAGCAATTTTTATATTTTTCACACACATTAAAATCAGCATTTTTTTTATAAAATTACTTAAACCCTACAAACAATTATATATTTACTGAAAGCACAGGCCCTGTAGAATAAAATAGTGGGACCTGGTTTTTTTTATATGCTGCAGAACATATGCGCAGCTGTTTATCAAATGCATATTTTCTGGAAAAAATACAATATTTATTATTTATTTATTTCAGGTACTTATATAGCGCTGTCAATTTATGCAGCGCTTTTACAAATATATTGTACATTCCCATCAGTCCCTAACCCTCAAGGGGCATACAATCTAAGGTCCCTAACTCACATTCATACATACACATACTAGGACCAATTTAGACAGGAGCTAATGCACCTACCAGCATGTCTTTGGAGTGTCAGAGGAAACCGGAGTACCCGGAGGAAACCCACGCAGGCACAGGGAGAACATACAAACTCCAGGCAGGTAGTGCTATGGCTGGGTTTCAAACCAATGCCTGGGTTTCAAACCAATGCCCCTAGTATTGCCAAGTGGAAGTGCTAACCATTTAGCCGCTGTGCTGCCCAATTTCATTTTAGTGCACACAAACACAATATAATACCTGACTTAAAATAAAAAAGGGCCGCTTCAAGCAAATTGATTCCAAATATTCCAAGCCCTAAAATGTTGGTGCCTGTGAAATGGCATAGAAAACAGATCAAACAGATTAGCTTTTAACCGCTTGCCGCCCTGCCACTGTGTATATACGTGTGCAGGGCGGCAGTGGAGCGCAAAAAGCATGTTTTAAAACGTGCTCCGCGCTCCCGACACATTCGCGGGTAGGGGGCGCGCGCGCGCGCTCCCGCCGACCCGCGGGTGACACGATTCGATCCAGGAGGGATCAATCATTAGATTTCAGCCAGTGATTTCTGGCTGAAATCACATGATCGGTCCCTGTCCTATCCTGTCCTGTGTTGACATTTACACATTTACATTGACACATTCCGTTCCAGACAGAGAAGAAGACATCTAAACAGTGAGTAAAACACTACACACTGACAGTTAGAACACTCTAGGTCACATTTAACCCCCTGATCGCCCCCCCCCCCAGTTAACCCCTTCACTGCCCTGTCACCAGTGTCACTGATCAGTGAAGCGATTTTTACTGATCACTATCAGTGTCGCTGGCGACTTCCGATAGAGTTAGCGCCCCTCCCAGATAGCGCCAGTTTGCCCGCTAATACACCAGTAGTCCCATCTAACCCCTTGATCGTGCCCCCCCAGTTAACCCCTTCACTGCCCTGTCACCAGTGTCACTGATCAGTGAACCGATTTTTACTGATCACTGTATCAGTGTCGCTGGTGACTTCCGATAGTGTTAGCGCCCCTTCCAGATAGCGCCAGATTGCCCGCTAGTACACCAGTAATCCCGTTTAACCCCTTGATCGCCCCCCCCCCCAGTTAACCCCTTCACTGCCCTGTCACCAGTGTCACTGATCAGTGAACCAATATTTACTGATCACTGTATCAGTGTCGCTGGCGACTTCCGATAGTGTTAGCGCCCCTCCCAGATAGTGCCAGTTTGCCCGCTAATGCACGGGATTTTTTTTACCAAAAACATGTAGCAGAATACATTTTGGCTTAAATTTATGACTAACTTTGAGTTTACGATATATTTTTTATAGCTGAAAGTAGAAAATATTCTTTTTTTTCAAAATTTTCGTGTTTTTTTTTTGATTATAGCGCAAAAAATAAAAAGCGCACAGGTGATCAAATACCACCAAAAGAAAGCTCTATTTGTGTGAAAAAAAGGACGTAAATTTCGTTTGGGTGCAGCATTGCATGACCGTGCAATTATCATTTGAATTAGCGCAGTGCTGTATAGCAAAAAAAGGCATAAATTACAGTATCTATACCATAGTTTGTAGACGCTATAACTTTCACACAAAGCAATCAATATACACTTATTGGGATTTTTTTATCATTTGAATTAGTGCAGCGCGCAAACAGCAAAAAAAGGCCTGGTCATTAAGGGGGGTAAATCCTCTGGGGCTCAAGTGGTTAAAAACCTTTACAGTTAGTTATTTAGTTACAGTTAATATTAGAATTAACATTGAATCATGGCCCTAGAATTATTGATGTCCACAGAAGCAAATCAAACACAGATTGTGCTTGATTAGCGGTTTCCCTCAACACAGAAGGAACAAGAGAGCCTGGGAACAAATAGGAAGGGGGCTGTATATTCTCAGCACCATAAAAGGGATGAGCTCTACAGCCACCTTAATCATTTTACTGGAAAGTTGGTACAAAGCTCACGTCTGGTTAATGTAAAGGCAAAACTTTTTTTTTTAGTTGTGGATAGGTTAGGGAAGGGTTATAGCCCCATCAGATATTTATAGCAGTCTGTGTCCCCTGCTGGGGAGATTCACCGCTCCAAAGGTCCTGGTGACCACCGTCTTCAAGACAGAAAGTAGTGGGAAATCCTAAATTATAGAGTTGTCATTAAAGCAAGTGGTGAGGGGAAATCCTCTAAAGGAGACCAATTTTCTGATGACTGCTGTTTAAGATGGGGATTCCCCTCACTTTTCATATTCCTTCCTGTTGCATCTTCAGAACAGAAAAATGATGGGAAATATATCCAGTGGTACACAGACAGCAAACATTACTTGATAGGGACTTAAAACAGTATTAAAGCCCGAAACCAAAAATGTAATATAAATATCTAGTGTAGGCGAGCGCTGGAACTATAAAGAAGCTAGCACCAAGGTATAGGTAACAACTACTTAGGGGATATATAGAAAATGCAGTGCAAAAATAAGTGAATATTATAGTGAAAAAAAATGTAAAGTCAATCTGACATATAGCGAAAAAAAAAATTGATCAGCGGAACAGTCAAGTACAGCATATAAAAATCAAATATAAAAAAATGTTCAATAAATCATTCAATAAATGTGAAACAGTAAAGTGCAGCATAAAAGTGAGAATATATAAAGTCCATAAAATATCAGTGGAGTAAGAGCTATAAATTGGCCGTAAAGATAGAAGTACGGCAATCACGGTGAAATATTGTGAAGTGATTCAATAGGGAATCCATCACCTCTGTCAGATGTACACTCAGGTAATTTCAGCTATTTTCAGAATCACAAATATCTATTGCTTCTCCTTTCTCCTACTGAAATCATGGCTATGGCATCCCTGCTACCCCCCAATATATAACTATAGGAAAAAATGGTAATTGAAGTTCTGCCTTCTTAGCCCCCGCTCTACCCCCATCCTCTGATTGGACAATGAAGTTGCTGAAACACACTGATGAGGTGTAAGCAGTTCTGTGCTAGGCCAATGAACACTTTCCAAGTCCTGATTGCACAAGAGTGATGCCCCTACTACTCTTCCCAGTCTGAGTACTGCTGTGCTGAAGATCCCAGGTTGAGATCAATAAAGATTTAGGTACACATGCTACTTTTCTGTAAAATATATTTAGTGATTTTAATGAACACACAACTGGAGTAAATGGTTCATTTATTTCAGTAATGCAACTTAAAAGGTGAAACTAATATATGAGATAGACTCATTACATGCAAAGCAAGATAGTTCAAGCCGTGATTTGTCATAATTGTGATGATTATGGCTTACAGCTCAAGTTTCACCTGTATGCTTTTAGCTCAGCCATATGTTTCACAGTAAATTCAAAAATCAACAAAATGACTACTTAAACATGCTTAAAATAGGACTGATTTATTAATAAATCTTGGCATGTACATTTCACAGACATGTACACAAAATTTCACTCTTTAAAAATAGATGTGCTTTAAAAGAAAATTCTATTGGGGAGTTAGAACAGCGCAATCTTCACAGAACCCCTCTGCAGGCAGCGATGACACCTGAGTCCAGGAGTTCCACCATCTCCTTCTTCACCTGCAAAGAAAACAGATCACATGTTACTGCTGTCCAAGTCTACAGTACATTTGACCTCAAACAGGCTGAATGTGGAGCTACCCGGCTGCTGTCACTGTATGCCAATGTTTAAACACCTGATAAAAAAATAATTCTTTAGTAAGGAACATATTGTACATTCCACATAACACTTCTAAAAAGAGTGTGTGCTGTAAATTGCCTCCAGCATTTCTCCTGTTTCTTCTTACTGTAGGCAGCCATTTTGCTGTTACCAGGGGCGGACTGACCGAGGGCCTGGGGTCAGTAGGGGGCCCCATGAGATGCCCCTGGTACATTTTTCATAGGCTTTTTTGAGTTTGGGCAAGGACACAGGGGCCCCACGATCCCCAATCCCCGGGGGCCCCATGAGTTGTCAGTCCGCTCCTGGCTGTTACCAGAGCCCTGAGCAGCAGTAAATCTTTAGGCTGTCAGCAAATCGGCTTCTAGGTTTTCAGCATAGTGCCACAAAATAGAGAGCAGCTGAGCATTTGCAGAGCAGGGTGAGACAGTGTCTTACTGGATTTTAAATAGTATAGGCACTTATTTTTAATGCCTTACATAGCTATACATGCAAAGGGAGCCAGTAAGAAGTGTTCTAGCAAGACTTCTGCTTTAATTCACTGAAAAGGTGGACACAAGACACATTCTTCTCCAAAGTCCCCAAAATTCTGCACTGGCTGTGCATGATTCAGTAGTTTAAAGGCCCATTTTGAGGTATGAATATGCTTTAATGAATTCTGGCCCATCTGAAGAGCAAAATTTTGGCTGTGTGGTAAAGAAGGAAGTGAGAAATACTTGTAGAATCAAGTAGAAATGTGAGTTTTTTTGTAGTTGCTACACAGAAACAGTAAAATTTGTGGTGATGGTGATGTTCTAGACCAGCGGTCTCCAAGCTGCGGCCCTTTGCTTACCTTTATCTGGCCCTTGGGGCATTATTGCCCCCACTCTCAGCAACAGTGGGATATAGTTTCTGCCAATGACATCGACAATGGGGCACTATTCCTCACTGACACCAATGATGGGGCACTCCCACTGACACCAACGATGGGGCACTATTCCTCCCACTGACACCAACGATGGGACACTATTCCTCCCACTGACACCAACGATGGGGCACTATTCCTCCCACTGACACCAACGATGGGACACTATTCCTCCCACTGACACCAATGATGGGGCACTAGTTATCCCACTGACACCAACGATGGGGCACTAGTCCTCACACTGACACCAACGATAAGGGGAATAAGGGGAATTTTTTTACTACTACTGACACAGGACATTTTCTGCTCCCACTGGCCAGAGTCCAACCCCCTTAAAGTTTGAAGAACAGACAACTGGCCCTTTCTTTAGCAAGTTTGGAGATCCCTGTGTCTTAGACCATCAGGGTTGACTGCGAGATCTTTTATTGCTGACCATAAATATGCATGGGCAAACCTGAAAAAATATTTGCCATCTACTGGCCTAAACATGTGTAAACCACTGTGCCACAGCTTCCATGATTACAACACAAACACAAGAAAAGCCATAAGTATACGGTTCCTGGTGCATACTGCTTTGTCTGATTACACTACTTATGAAATAACTATGCTAAACCTTGCAAATGTCATGAAAATACAGTTAGGCAAAAGAAGCACATAAAACCTATCTGTACCTCTGGAATATCCACCATCCTCCGCAGCTTCTGATCTCTCCAGTTCCAATCTAACACAATGTATTTCAGAGACTGCAAACTAAGACCCTCTATGAACAAAAACAGAGTGTTAATAAGTATATAAAGATGGCAGAGCTCAATAAGGGATAAGTACACTTATTCTTAAGCTCATCACCCTACCCAACCTCAGATGTATACTCAACATGTAACGAAACCCATTCCTTTTTTTTTTAGTCTAAGAACATTTTTAGGCTTCATGCACACAGGGCATTTGGATTTCTTCTCTGAACACCATTTACTCCTGGCAGGTAAAAAGAAGCTTAAAATCCGTGCCTAGAGCCGCTTATTGCACACATTAGGGAGCATCAAGCATTAATTCCATTGGCCAAAATATTATCTTATTCTGGCCACTGGAATGAACACTCAAGCGCAAAACGCATCTAGCTTTTAAGCACAGTAAGTGTTTTTTCTGCCCAAAAGCTCCTTTTCTGAGCGGGTTGATTTTTTTTTTCAGCCCGTAAATGCACTTCTAACACATAGAGGTGCATTTACAGGCTGAACACAAATTTCAAACGACTGTTAAAAATGCATTTTTAAGCTCTGTGTGCATGAGATCTTAGCAAGTACAGAATATTCCTGTTGATCTTGACAGAAATCCACAATAGGACAGGAAGGGTTTTATTCACAGGATTACTAGATGGAAAAATGGAAGAGCCTGAAAAAAGAAAAATGATTGCAGGCACCCATGAGGACTGGTAAGAGCAATATATTATTATTTTTTTTTTTTTTTGTAATAATAATGTTTTAACTCCACCCCATGGCTGCACAATGTTCAGGTCCTGCTAGGAAAATCATCTTTGTGCTTGCCAAAACTGTGCGGCCAATCTGCACTGACTTCTATGGGACTACCTACCATGCGTCTCCCGGGAGACTCCATACACCATGTACACATTCTGATGGGTCATGGGATGATGTACGTATGCATATGTGCATTGTGTGGTACTTTGCGAGCAAAAAGATCAGCATACTTTAAAAGTGTACTTTTCAATGTGGGGCTACATGAATGAAAGCAAAAAAAAGATGATTATGATCATACGCTGTTTGATGGATTATTTTGTGTTATGATACACAATTAAACATTAGCAACCAATTCATTTTCTTCAGTTTAGTGTAGTTGGGTTACAGCAAAAATCAAGAACAGGTGAAAATTTAGATAAAAAGTAAATCCCACAATGCAACAAAAAAGTCTCTTGTTCTGTGTAAGCCATCTAGTCTGAACTGATGACAGCTTCTATCAAAGGGACAAAACAGCCAGTGGAAAATCCAAAACCCGGGACTTTTTTTTTAAACTAAGAGCAGCAGATCTACTGCAGGTCAGTTCTCATTACTTCAAACATAATTATTGGAAGTACTAAATATTTGGCATGTTACAGTATATCTAAAATAATGTTTCTTTGTAATCAGCACATGTATAAGCATCCAAGGACTGGACTTCCTTTATTAAAAAAACAGGATTACCCACCTTGTTCTATGAGAGCTTTAATCCTTCCAGGTGTTCCTATTCCAAGATGAACAATATTTTTCTCCAGCAGTAGTTGCATCTGATCTTTAATCTGCAAAAAGACAGAAGAAACAGCTGTTTAATAGAGCTGTTAAAAGTGTATAGAGGAAGAACACAAAAATTCAAAGCAGCCAAAGCCACTGTATGGTCGAGCCACAAAAAGTACTCCGTAGGTGCACAAATATATAGGAATCAAATATCAAAATGTATTTAATAAGGTCTACCTGTATTACCCATCAACAAACAAAAAATATTCAAAACAGCAATGAAATAGATTGTTACATTAAACAGAAAACGTATTCTTAGTAAGATCAAACTGAGATGGCTGGGGGATAGGAAAGGGATGCTGCTATCACTAAACCTTTAGAAGCCCTTCAATAGCATTTCAAGACCCTACCTCTTCCACATATTGACAAAATGAGGTTTGGACCTAAAATTTATCACTTTGATACACTCTTTATACTCCACCCCTACCACATAGATTCTGGTGAATGGATATAAATTGGATTCCATTCTAAGCCACACAGGACTTAGGCAGGGATGCTCTTATTACAAAACCTGATAGACCTGGTATTGAAAGCAGAGATGTGCACCATAAGTATACTCTTTTTGTGGATGATTTATTCCTTATTGTCAACACCCTGCCCAACCTATTCAAACCCTTAAAAAACACAGTGACATAGGGAATCTAGGTCAATGCTGATAAATTAAAAGTAACAAAATATACATTTTAAAAGCTTAGGGTCCAGTTCTCCTTTGGCAACCTCATGCCCTGCCGTACATGGGGATCAAACTAACCTCAAATATAGCTAAAGTTTATAAAATGAATTACATCACTCTCTTCACCAAAGAGTTGGACATGTGGTTATCCCATTCCCTTTTCCAGGTGAACAGAATTGACTCTATTAAAATGACTTTATTGCCTAAAGTTTTATATTACTTAGAACACTACTCATTAATATTCGAACCTCAGGTGCTATCGGGCTGTGCAATTAACTCAATTGTTACAAATCTATAGGCCAAACTGAATAAACATCAAAGCCCAAGACCTCCCCCCATAGACCTCTTACTTTTGTAGAGCTCTTCCTGCAAAATTGATAGCTCTAAAGGCTCCATTATTCAACAACCCAGTGTTTCCATTGGGTTAAACAAAAGGTTTATATTGGACGCGTTCTTGATCACAGATACTTTCCAAACACAGATCACTTTTTCCAACAGCTCAAAATGCCTCCCTCTCAAATCTTATATCAAATGTTCATTTCCTAACTTACATTTTAAAATATTAATAATATTTTAATAAGAATGATCATTGAAAAGAGGTTTATGTGTGACAAAACACAAACAGGTGGCATTTCAGCATTATACCAGCTATTCTTTGCATCTCAAGCCAGTATATGAGGTAGCTTTGTAGAGATTGCAGACTCTGAGATGTGTAACATATAAACCTCTAGAGTACATAGATGAATATGTAACAAGACTCTCATAGAATCTAACTATAAGGTCCTCTCCTGCTGGTATAGGTGCCCAGCAGACTCACCATAATTTACCCCAAGACTTCTCCCTTATGTTTCAGAGGGTGTGGCCAGACAGGCATCACATCTCCACATCTCCCCCCAAAATGAGATGTTTTTGCACAAGGACACATGGTCTGATGCATTCTATCAGCCATGATATTGCCAGGAAAGCTCACACTGTTCTGTTAAATTAACCACTTGATGATGTTTCTGGGCACTCCCAGACACTTATCTTCTACATGTTTCTGGCTGCAAAAATATCAAGCGCTGGAGTTTGGAACTCTTCTGTAGTCAATATCGCAGCTACGCAAGACAACATTGCTGAAATCATGCTTAATGAGAAATAAGAAAGCATCCCCAGGACAGGTATAAAGCTGAGGTTTTGGAATCCATGGTTACATGCAGTGCAACTCAATAATTGGGGATGGTTGGGGTGTCTTTGGTAAAAATGCTCTGTTCTCTATTCTCTATTTGACCATTTCCTGTCTATTTTGAAATTAACGTTTCCTACATTGCTCTATGCAAACTAGAAGGTTGCAATAGTTGATACAGTACATGGCCCCATTATCCACAGCAGATGGGTCCTGGCCCTGTGAAATTGTCATAAATTTTACTCTTCAAGTCTGCCTTACAGCTTACAGAGTTACACAGTTAGTCTGGCTGAAAAGTCCATCCAGTTCAACCAAAAAAAAAAAAGTTATAATCCTATACCCACAGTTGATCCAGAGGAAGGCAAAATAAAACCCAGCAGAGAATGATCCAATTTGCTCCTGCAGGATAAAAAAAATCCTTCCTGATCCCCCAAGAGGCAATCGGATATTCCCTGGATCAACTTTACCTATAAATGTTAGTATCCAGTTATATTCTGTGTATCTAAGAAAGAATCCAGGTCTTTTTTTAAAGCGATCCACTGAGCTGGCCAGAACCAACTCTTGAGGGAGTCTATTCCACATTTTCACAGCTCTTACTGTGAAGAAACCTTTTCATATTTGGAGATTAAATCTCTTTACATAATGCTGTTTAATGTGCCCTGTATAATGATTTGTCAACCCAGCTCTACAATCAGTATTCAAATTGTGATTTTAATGCGTATCTTGAGTACTGTACAAGAAAGTCCATGGAGGCATCTGTATGATCTTTGCTTGAAAAAAAAAAACAATATTGACAAACAAAAAGAAAACCTGAATCTGATTGTTATTAAGCAACACTGACAGTTCTTAGGAAAGCCACTTGGATAAATTAGGTCCCATGTGTTTAATGCATATTGTACAATTGTATATAGTAAATTTCACAGCTTAGCTCATCTCTTCTACAATAAACATTACTAATTGAACACATTCTGCAGTCTTGCCAAACAAGTTTAATGCAGCAATCAAGTATAGTGCATACTCCTTATTATTAGAATTACTTCTACAAGGAGGTAATCGAATATCTTTGACCACCTGTAATCTCTTCCATTATAAAGGAGCAGGATATAGTAAAGAAGGAACCTTAGGATATTTTTTTCTTAACTCGCACCCAAGACTGAATTGTGTACTCATTTTTTAGTATCTTTGGGCTTCATTATTGAAATTTACCTTAGACCTAAAGTAACAGACAGCAAGCTATGAACCAAGCTAATAACTATATAGCTATGTACACAGTACTCTTAGCATTGTAACATAGACTAATTATAATGAAGACGACATACCTTGATGTGTTTTGCAAATAGCTTCATTATTTTGGTGTCACCTTTGAAAGCATTTATTAATCTGTTGAGGTACAAACAGTAAAACATACCCATGATTACTTAATTACATAAACCTGAAAAAGAAAGTGGGGTTATGGAAGAAAGCTGAGATGTATTATAAGACTTGGGACCAAGTCTATAAATGACATCTCAGCTATACAATATGTACACATCCTTTAAAAAATAATACTTCTGCACATTTATAAAGCAATAGAGGAATCCTGTCAAATGCTCTTCTTCCATCCCACATTCTTCTGTGAATAGTGCAAAAAGACAACTCCATAGAACACAGCAGGTTCCACATCACTCTGAATTAAAGGTAAAATGTAGGTGTAACACGGGGGTAACACTGCAATGTCCTAAAGAAAGCTGTATGCACTCTCTTGTTATAAACCAGCACATCTGAAACTAAGTGAAACCATCTTGGATTCTGTTTAGTTATGGTGTCATTTACAGTAATATTTGTGAATGGTAATAACAGATCTTTATATGGACATTGTATTTTAGCATGGGTTCACATATATGCGGTGCGCTATATCACATGTGATTTGCACAGGAACCACACCGCATTTTGTATGGCTGTAATCGCCCTGCACCAAAAAGGTGCAGGACCCTTTTTTGGATCCGCACTAGAATCGGATCACATGGGTATTCACACCTATGCGATCCAATTCTGGGCATTGCACCGCGTTTTGTGGGACTGCTTTTGGGGTGTTGTTAACTTAACATACACACCCGCAGCGGATCACATGAGCGAGGTGCAATTCTGATGCGGGGTGGAATTCGCACAGAAAACGCTGTGAATTCCGCACCGCATCATTGTGAACCAGGGTTTAGGGCTAACATGCCTTTAAAAAAGATAACATTCGTTTTCCTTGTTCCTACAACTTTGTAGAACACAGCTGGGCACATGCAACTTATTAATGTTGTGTGCCAGAAACTACAATATTAATTTAAATCGGACTTTATACAAAAACTTTGATCAAACAGATGACAGACTTACTTAATTAGTTCCAGGGTACGGTGAGCAGAGCTACAAATCACCAAGATCAGAGCAGATTTTTTCTCTTTGTGATTTTTCGATAGTTTGGACCACTTAGGGCACACTGGAATAGAGGTGATATCACAGGTTACACAAGCAGAATATTAAGAAAAATGCACAATTTAGACTTTGTTCAGGGTGTGTGGCATACTTACTTTCCTTTAAATATGAAGACAGGGTATGGCTGAGGTCATTTGCTTTCACAAATGAATTATCTAGATGAGAAATATATTTATTAACGAAACAGCTATGTAATACAGATTTTTTAAAATTTTGCATTTTTATTCAATTTTAAGCAACAGGACTTCAAAACATCTTAGAGGAATTGCTTTCCTATTTGAACCTAGAGCTTTGTTTTAGAAGAATTTCACTATGTAAAGACTGTAATTACATTTGAGGCTGGAGTAGTTATGTTTGCTTACTACACATACATTTATTTATTTCAGGTACTTATAGAGCGTCGTCAATTTACGCAGCGCTTTACATATATATATTGTACATTCACATCAGTCCCTAACCCGCAAGGGTGTACAATCTAAGGTCCCTAGCTTACATTCATACATACATATACAAGGGCCAATTTAGACAGGAACCAATTAACCTACCACCATGTCTTTGGAGTGTGGGAGGAAACCGGAGTACCCAGAGGAAACCCACGCAGACACAGGGAGAACATGCAAACTCCAGGCAGGAGGTGCCGTGGCTGGGATTCGAACCAACGACCCTAGTACTGCCAGGCGGAAGTGCTAACCATTTAGGCACTGTGCTGCCCTGTACATACTATACTGCCTACCTAAAGGATAAGTTCACCTTTGGGAACATGTTACATGTTCCTCCCATTGATAGGTCTTCCTATCAATGTAAAATTGTCTGCCCATATGAGGTATGAGCACACAGGTTACACTGACAGTCTGCAGGTGTCCAGCATGGCACCAGCGATCTATTGATCACTGATGCAATGCTTTACAGGTTCCAAAAAAAAAAAAAAAAGGTAAATGTACATTTTTTTTACCTACAAAAAAAATGGGCATTTATTATTATTATTTTTTTTTAAGTGAACTTATCTTTTAAAGTGTTACTAAACCCAGGACCCTGCAATCACTATATTTGGTCTCCCACAGTACACAGAACATGAAAATGAAATTATTTTAGTATATTTACTGCTAAATACCTTTTCTCAATAGCAGTATATAGCAGTCTTGTGACCTCTATCAGTGCTTAGCAGAGCACTAGTTAAAGCTTGTAGGGGGAGTTTTTCATTTTGCTCTAGGAGGATGCAGAACCCCTTACCTCTGTCTGGACAGTGCTGACTGGCCCTGTACTGATCACATGCACTCTCCCAAGGAGATAAGAGGGTGACACTGGAAGAAGGGGAGGATCAGAGAAGACAGGATCAAACAGACTTTTTACACAATGTGGAGGATTAACCTCTTAGGTTCCACAATGAGTATAACTAACTAATACTGCATATACAGACTGATTTTATGGTTGTGGGTTTAGTAACACTAAGTTGAATATTGGCAGCTTCCTGATGAACCTGCCAAAATTTGCTTTGTGGCTGGCCTTGTCGGCCTCCACTTGCCTGACATACTTAGATGGAAAAATTTAAGGATCAGAGCAAAACATTGGCTGAACAGAGGCTGCATCCAATCAAATGTAGTCACTGTTCAGGTATTATGACAGCCACCAGCATGCACTAGCTGTCAGATTACAAAAGTGTGGCGGGGGAGGGAATAGTCCACATTGTTAGTGTGGAAGAAGGAATCTGTTGGATTTTTTTTGTTCAGCCTAAATCATCATAAGAATGCTTTTTCCATTTTACAATCGTTACAGGGGTCAAATCGACGTTGGTTTTTGACCACAGTGATGAGAAAATGCAAAGAAGCAGATAGAAATCGGTTAATTCGAGAAAATAATTTTCAAACAGTGAATGTGTTTTTTTTTTTTATTTATGAAACTCAATTTGTTCCAAAAACAAAATGTTAAAAGGGAAACAACATTTTGAAGTACTTTCCAAGGATATTCAAGTATTGAATGTATTAAGGATGTTCAGATGACTGTTAGTATGAATGTTCGTTATAAAATCCACTAGTGTATAGCCAGCTTTAGTAGCAATCCACAGTGCCCATCACCACAAAAAAAAATTGTCATTGAGTATAAAGTGCACGCACCTAGAGATACTTGTCCTTATTGTACCTGCAGGTCCCTGATGCTATGCCCAAATCAAGGGCCTTACTGAATGACGGAAATTTGAATCAAAGCTTGCCCGCTGCCTGATCTGGTGGACTATCATATACTGTATGTTGTCAGCTAAAATGTTTGTGTTGATGGCTTTTGTTTGCATCAGAATGGTTTCTCTCACCATACATATAAAAAGACAATTCAAAGTTCAATTCATCTCAAATGCATGCCGAATGCATGCAAAGCTGCATTTACCAATCCACAAGCCTTTACACTGTTGATAGAGATTTCCATTAGAAGCTACAAATTTGTATTGTAAATTTAATTACAACAATAAGGAAACGGCAAGCTTGGTTAGTGGGAAACTTCCAGCAAAAATTACTTTCAACTTTGAAATAATAAAGTATATTCACTGTAAATACAGTGTAGATTTGTTTAAACAATCCTGTGCTTCATCTCAACACACACCACTGGGGTTTATATGTCAGGAAAGCCGGGATATCTGTAGGGGTGTCCAGCGACATCCTGGCATGTTCTGGTGCACACGCCATACTCCGCAGGTAACAAGTCCATAGCTATAACCAATAACTAAAGAAGAAAGCAGCATTGCCTACAGGCTTGTTACACTTCCAATAGCATGACACTGCCAAGGAAAGTAGGTCACCATTAGGCCAAACAAACTCCATTGTGAATAAATCAAATATTCCCTAAAGAGCGTGGCTAAAAATAAACATGAACAGGATCATTAACCTTTTATTTTGTTTAGAAGAGAAGACAGATTCTGACTGTACTCATAAAATATCATATAACACAAAGAGATTGTTTTACTGGAAATAACCTACATCACATATAACAAGCTTGAGAAGGAATCCATGTTTCTTGAATTTCTTCTGCTAGTTCAACTACAGTGCAAGCAAACATGAGACCCTATAGTTATATGTCCTGACCGCACACTGAAATCCATGCGGCTTTCTACATAAGATTTTTTTGGAGTAATTTTTCTGTGGTTATGAAAGTGGAGAATGAAATAAAGGAATATGCAAGTATGAAACGAAAAGATCGCATCTTAAAGGGACATCATCCATCACCAGGCCATTCATTTCAGAAACAATCTTCACATATTATATGTGCATTTCATATTTTAGACAGGTTATTTATCTATATAAAGCCTCTGGACATTGGGTAAGATTACCCCCTTATAGATGGCTAAAAGATCAATGGTGCCAGTGAGAACTTGTCTGAAAGGCAAAAATTGCTCACTGCTCAAGGAACCCCTAGCAACATCACGAGGAACCCTGGTTGAGAAGCCCTGCTTCATACTATTTACCCTTTCGCTCTTCCCTTAGCTGCTACATAAAATATTCAAACCAGGGAGGGAGCTGTGATAGGTTATTGACACTTTTTGGGGTGCCGATTCCCTGGCAAGTTCAGAGATACATTGCAAGTCAATAAAAAAAATTTATGGAAAAAAAACACTTTAAAATATGCAGTTTTAGGTTAGGGACAGGGTCTATTTAAAGGAAAAAAATGTATTTTCAGTGTATGCATTGTTATTGTGGTGTTTACCTTAAATTACAACTCTAATAAAATATTTAAAAAATAAATAGGACATCATTTTTTTCCCGGCTTAGCTTCCAGGTTAAACAATATTTCCTGTGAGGTCAGGCTGTTACCACAATACTGCAGTGAGCAGTGCTGATGTCACAACATCAGCACCACTCTCTGCTTTAATCCTCTGAAGCACAAAACGAAGGACACTAGTACATCATGTGACCAGCCTGAAGACTGCTTTAAGCTCCTGTATGTATTAAAAGGGAACTTTTAAAAAACAGATACAGGTTGGGGAGGGAGGTAGAAGGATGGAAGAGTCTTAATGTGGAGATGTGCTTTAAATAAATGTTAGGATTTGCACATTAACCACTTGAGGGATCTCTCAGTGGCTCAGCACTATTACTCTGTCTTTCTTGACATCTGCTGACATAACATATCAGCAGTTATCACATGCAGAGTGCAATGTGTCAGTCAACATATAACATAGCAGAATCATTGTGTAGCCTTGAAAATCAGAAAGCAGAGCTTACTTAGGTAATGAGGAATATGGGTGCCCCTCATACAGTGCATTATTACAAACTACAAATAAAAAAAAGTCTTTTAAACCCTTAACACTGATACAATTATTTCAATCTAATTGGTTTACTTTACATATATAGCTAATGATTTAGCACAGAGCAGCCCCAATCATCCTCTTCTAGAATCCCCTGCCCAGCACTCCTGGCTCCTCTTTCCTGCCGAGTGCCCCCATAGCAAGTGACTTGCTATGGGGGGGTAGTCGTGCGTGCTCACTCCTGGGGTGGGATCATTGACACACAGAGCGTGGCTTGGCTCCGTCCCCCACTTCCTCCTCACTAGCTGTGATTGACAGCAGCAGGAGCCAATGGATCCAAATTGGGCTCAGGTAAGTATAAGTGGGGTTGGGTGGAGGAAAGCAGCACCAGTGTTAATTTTTACATCAAATTTCGATTTAGTTTTAGTCATAGTATTTTGACTAAAGTGCCGTTTTAATCATATTTTAGTCATCTGAATTGTTTTAGGTTTATTCTTATTTTAGTTGACTAAAATCTCCAGTACATTTTAGTTGACTAATATCATTTTAGTCTATTAAAATCTAATGGGTTTAGTTAAATTGTAATGTATTATTTAAGCATTTTTCTAGAATTTCCTGGAGTAAAAAAAAAATCTAATAACAAGGTATTATTTTATAATATTAAGGTTTGAACAAACTATGCAGACACAGATTTAGGTGTTATATAACGTCTTTATACGTAGAACCAAGTTTCATTACAAGAAACGTCCCTCATATTTTCTCTTCAGTTTTCGTTCATTGACGAAAGTTGGAATTGATTTTGGCCATATGAGTTTTTGTCAATTGATGAAAAATTTGGGGTCATTTTCTTTTAGTTTTTGTCACATGCTACTGACAAAAATGATGAAAATATTTTTGGCCACAAAATTAACACTGTGAAATTAACACTGAAGGTTTTTTACCTTAATGCAGAATGCATTAAAGTAAAAAGAAAAAAATACTTCAGGCTTTAGAACCACTATTCAAACCCAGCATTTCAATTTCCCTTGATATGTGTCTGCTCTATCATGTACTTGTATGAAAAAGTATCCTGTTCTCTTATAGGAAACTTTCTGGGTTATAACTAACCAGCTACAAGAAACCAGGCTACAAGAAACCATCAGTGGAATGAACATCTGCTGAACAAGCTGGACACGCAGCCTAATGTGGAACTAACGGCTTTGTTTATAGAGTTAACGACCCAAAGTTCTACCTGAGTGTTCGTATTGGTATAAAATAAACTGTATTTTTTATTTTAAACAAGAAAAGACCTGTTAAGAGTTCTAGTAAATGTAGTTCTTATTGACAGGAAAAGAGTGATTAAGTAACATTTCACATATTTCATCCCAGTGACAGGAAGGTATGGATGGAAATGAGGCTGGTCAGACATTATTCTGGGATTAAGGGGGCATGACACACACGCTGGGAGTCAGTTCAAGGCAAATGCACATGGTTTAGTTTATTTCTACATAGGAAAATACAAAATCTTACGCAAAGTTCAAGACTATGCTTACCTGGCAATTTTAGTTCTTCCAATTCTATAAACTGACCGTTGTCTTGCAATAATGTTGTTCCAACAGATTTTGTAGGTCTTCCGGTGTTCCAGCTTTTGGTGCAGAGGTGGCTAGAACATCAGTAATGGTCTCTTCTGCATGCAAGTACATCAGTGGTAAATATTAAAACCTCTATTCTGTAATATGTTCTATGCATAAACAAAGTTGTTTATCTACACAAGTTTTAGTCAAACACCAAGCAACATGTAAAAACCATTGAATGTTAATATTATCTGGAAACTTTGCCCCATGCACCACTTAATGTTCCTTTCTTTGAGTGTTTCTCATGCTTCCATTGAGTAAGGTTTTTTTAAGAGATATAAATAGAGGAACTACAGCCTCTTGTCAGTCATCGAGTGTTGTGCAGCGTTCCCTCCTTCAATTTTACATTTGTTCACAAAGAAATGTATAGTGTCTTGAGGGTTTTCTTTTGAATGTGCAGAATTAGAGAGACTTAGGCTAGCAGTAGATTTGATTGTTTTTATTTTTATCAATCATCAGGCTGAAACTGCCTGAATTTCAATCCATCTATGGACAGCTTTAGGGGTTGTGAAAGATGGATGGAGTCTGGAATCCTGGAACATTCAGGATGAGATTAAGTTCTCTTAAAACTCCATCTTAGCAGTAAGGGAAAAACAGAGACTCTGACAGGTAGGTTAATATTCCTCTACATAGTTCCTTGTTAAATTAAGTAATTTAACTGGAGTTACCCAACTACCTAAAGTAGTGCTCCAGTTTTCAAGGACCCATCAACCTGCACCCACCCCCTAAGAGCATGCCTCCCCACTTTTTTTAACCACTTGCCCTCCTGAGGATTTACCCCCCTTAATGACCAGGCCTCTTTTTGCTACTCGGCACTGCACTAATTCAACTGATAATTGGCGCGGACATGCAACGCTGCACCCAAACGAAATTTACGTCCTTTTTTTTCACACAAATAGAGCTTTCTTTCTGTGGTATTTGATCACCTGTGCGCTTTTTATTTTTCATGCTATCAACAAAAAAAGACCAAAAGTTTGAAGAAAAAATCAATATTTTTTACTTTCAGCTATAAAAAATATATAGTAACTCAAAGTTAGTTATAAACTTAGGCCAAAATGTATTCTGCTACGTTTTTGGTAAATAAAATCCCCAATAAGTGTATATTGATTGCTTTGTGTGAAAGTTATAGCGTCTACAAACTATGGTATAGATACTGCAATTTAACGCCATTTTTTTGCTATACAGCGCTGAGCTAGTTTAACAAAAAACAATTGCGTGGTCATGCAATATGGCCACTATAAATGAAATTTATGTCCTTTTTTTTTCACACAAATAGAGCTTTCTTTTGGTGGTAATTGATCACCTGTGCGCTTTTTCTTTTTGGCGCTATAAACAGAAAAATTTTGAAGAAAATTTTTTTTTGAAAAAAAAAACAATTTCTCATTTCGGTCATAAATAATATCCAAAAAAACAAAAAATTTCGTCATAAATTTAGGCCAAAATGTATTGTGCTACATGTTTTTGGTTAAAAAAATCCCAGTAAGTGTATAGTTATTGCTTTGTGTGAAAGTTATAGCGGTTTACAAACTATGGGTATACATAATGGAATTTACACAACTTTCACTTTCTGACTGCCCATCACATTTCTTGAGGTGCAAAAATACCAGAATAGTACAAACACACCTCAAATATAACCCTTTTCGGAAAGTAACACCCTAAGCTATCTGCTGAGAGGCATATTGAGTTCATGGAAGATTTGTTTTTTTTCCACAATTTCTGGAAAATTACAAAAACATTTTTTTTTTTACACAAAGTTGTCATTTAAATGATTTATTTCTCGCACAAGCCATGGGTATATGTGGAATTTACACCCCAAAATACATTCTGCTACTTCTACCAAGTGTGAGGATACCACGTGTGTGAGACTTTCTGGGAGCCTAGCCACATATAGGAGCCTGAAATCCAATGACCACTTTGAAAGCCTCAAGGTGCGTAACTTCCTCATTACACTTCCTCACTAACTTTACCTACCACAGTTTCGAAGGCCCTGACATTGCCAGGGGGATAGCACGCAAACCCCCCCAAATGACCCCCTCTTTGGAAAGTAGGGACACCCCAAAGGCATTTAAAAAAAGAGGCATGGATGAGTGAGTTTTGCAGATTCTCATTTTTTTCTCAACAAGGTTTTTAAAATATCAAAAAAAGAATAGAAAAAATGTGTTTTTTTTTTTTTCTTCATTTTCCAAAAACTTGTGGCAACAAATGAGATCTGTAAATACTTACCATGCTTCCTATAACAATTCCCCATCGGGGTGTCTACTTCCAAAAAGGGTCCCTTTGGGGGTGGTTAGTGTCTATCCTGGCATTTCAGAGCTAATCCTGAAACTGCGATACGTTAGTCTGGAAGTGTAATGCGAGGAAATAAAGCCCTTTAAAAAGCCTGAAGGTGCTTATTGGATTTTGGGGTCCTGTACTTGGCTAGACTGCCAAAAAGTCTCTCACATGTGGTACCTCCATACTCGGAGAAGTAGCAGAATGTATTTTGGGGAGTTATTCCACATATACCCATGGCAATGGTTCGTGAGCAGTAAATCATTTAAGTGTCAATTTTGTGTAAAAAAAATATTTTTTTTGTCATTTTACCAAAAAACTTGTGGTAAAAAAAAATTAATTCTTCTATTGATTCAACATGCCTCACAGCAAATAAGTTTGGGTGTCCTAATTATCCAAAAAGGGGTCCGCTTTTGGGGGGTGGGGGCATTCTATGCCCAGCATTATAGAAGTTTAGTCGCTGCCACACACATTCTCCACTCTTCTAACCACCTGAAGATCAAGCCTTTTCTGACACTTTTTGTTCACTTGAAAAAAAAATCAGTAAATTTCTTGCTAGGAAATTAATTTAAACTCCCGCAAACATTATATATTTGTTTCAAAGCAGACACCATAGAGTGAATAACATGGTTGGTTCACTACAATTTTTTATGGCACATAGTACTTTTGCAGCGATTTTTCAAAAGCAAATTTAAAAAAAAAAAAAACAATACACTTTTTTTATACTTTTTATTTTTTTTTTACTACAAAAACACAATATATTGGCCAACTATTTGGTGAAATATAAAAGATAATGCTAATGCTGAGTAAATAGATACCAAACACATGACATGCTTTAAAACCTGTGCATGCCCCGTGCAATAGCGACAAACTTGCATACATTTTCAATATCCATAGGCAATGCTTTAATAGCCTTTAAAAGCTACAATTTTAGACTTACAGAGGAGGTCTAGTGTTAGAATTACTGCCCTTGAGCTGACGTTCACAGCAATACCTCACATGCATGGTGCCAAAGCCGCTGTTTACATACCGACACAGGGTCAAGGCTTGTACACACAGGTGTGCACGCATGGGAGGGGGTGATTTTTTTTTTTTTTTTTTTTAGTTATTTTGATTTTTTAAAATTACTTTTTTACACTGTCCCTTTCATTTTTTTTTAGCACTTTATATACTATCACAGGGAATGCAAATATCCCCTATAACTTCAATGGGCATTGTCATATATTCTTTTTTGAGAAATCTGGATATCTCCTTTGCCCTTACATTATCTAATCAAACCAAAATCTGTGTGATCAGATGCTTTCCCAATTTACAAATGGCGCTGTTTATATCCTGCAAAACTGAAGTGATGAAATGCTTGTAGCTTCCGAATTCTTAGACTATAGAGATGATTGGCACCACTCTGGTCTCCAATCAGCTCTATGGTCAGCTGGCAGAAACAGTGGCTGCATTCTCAGGTTCCCCGATGGCACGGGGACTGCCCGAGATGGCCGTGGAAGGCAGTGGGGGAGGGGGGGCATCATCTCCTGCTGCTTTTAAAAGCAATATTGCAGCTAATTAGCCACTAGAATTGCTTTTACATGAAAGCTGATCATCAGCTGAAAAAAGCGATACCAGGATGATGCCTGCAGCTGTAGGCATCATCCGGGTATAACCATTCAAAGTCCAGTGATGTACCAGTACATTGCTGATCCTTGTTGGGTGTATATGCTATGTTCTTTTTTTTTTGTGTGCAGCCTGTGGACTGAATGAAAAAAAGAGAAATCTCTGCCAGAAAAAGTGTGTGGTACGCCCACCATTAGAATATACTGCCCTGCATCCACCCAATTCTAATGGTGGGCACACATTAGGTCACACTTTGCCACAAGCACCAGTTCCAAGAAATAGTGGCACGCTTGAATAAAAATTGTCCACGTATAAGTGGTACCCCATATGGAAAAAGGATGACACCAAGTCCCAAACTATCTTGCCACTGCTCCCCATGTAGTATGGGCATCCAGGGGGGCTCCTCGTGACTATCTTTTCCCTCATAAATCCGAAACTTATAAGTATAGCCTGTTGTCTCACAGGTCTTCTATATCATGACCCCATATCTGGCACGCTTGCTGGGGAGAAAATTGTTTGAATGAAAGGTGGGACTCATCAACACAGATGTTTTGCTGGGGAGTATAGACATCTGCAAACTTTTTGGTTAAGGTGATTTACAAGGGGCTGAATTTTGTGGAGCCGGTCAAATTCAGGGTCACCCCGAGGATGACAGAGTGTATTGTCGTTGAAATGCATAAAACACATTATACTCTCATATCTATGCCTGGCCATGGCAGCAGAGAACACGGCATATGATGAATCGGGTCTGTAGACCAATACAACCCCAATTCATTTTTTTCAGTAATGCCCATGTTGAGGGTTAGGCCCAAAAAAATGTAAATTCGAAAACCGTAATGAGTTTCCATGCAACTGGTCTGGGAAGGTTTGAATTTGGGTTGGCAGCGATAAATTGTTGTGCATATAAATTGCTTTGATCCACAATTAACGCATACAGATATTCAGTGAAAAACAGCTCCAAAAATCAAGGGGAGTAGTTAAATTTGCTATTTCCACCTGAATTCTAGGTTGGGCAGTGAATGTGGGAAGTAAGGGTGCTGCAGAATTTGTGGGCTGTCAATCGGGATTTGCAAGCACATCCGGAAGGATGCTAGGAGCTCTACGGGCCTGTGTGTGAATTCTTTGTGGTTGTGGGACAAAAAACTTGTGCTTGCCGACGCACCACCTTGTACTGCACTTATGGGACTCACCAAGTCGCCAAGTCATACTGCAGTGCTGGTATTATTATTGTTATTACACAGGATTTATGGCGCCAACAGTTTGCTCAGCGCTACAATATAACGGGAGACAATACAGAACAATACAGTTCAATACAAGAGGGTTAGGAGGGCCTGATCCTGGGAGCTTACAATCTAAGAGATATGTGAAAGACCAGGATGTACTAGGCCACTAATACTCGCCAGTTCACCAAAAGGTAGAGTGGCAGTAGTACTGGCACTCTGCTGCATATGAGAGTCATCAAAATTTACTGACAAGTGCTAACAGAGATCAGGCCTGATTCTGCGAACACTGCGGTTTTGTGTGCAATGTTTCAAGTGACAGTGACCTACTGACACTGCACTTGCTGGGGGAGAAGGGGGGGGGGTAAGTGTAGGGGCTTACGCAGGTGCTGGCAGGTGCCCGGGGCTGATCCCGCTAACACTGCATTTTTGGGGATGCTATACTGACACTGGGGGGGAACTGACTTGGGGTCACTGACATCCCCAGTGACACCAATACAGTGATCAGTGCAAAAAAAAAAAAAAACACTGACACTGTACTAATGGCACTGGGGAGGAACGGGTTAACTTTTTTAGGTAATGAAAGGGTTAACTGTGTGAGGAGAGTGTTTTACTAGGGGGCCGGGGTGTGTGCTTCACAGGAACATGCTGATCCCGAGAGATAAACTCTTCACTCAGGATCAGCGTGTTCGGAACTGACAGGGAGCAGAGCTGCAGTGTAAACACTGCAGCCCTGCTCTGTCAGTGATTGCCGGTAATCGCTGGGATCCGGCAGGTAATGACCGGCCGGGACCCGGTGATTGACACTCGCGATCAGCGGCACAGTTAGGGCGGTCGCGCGCCTCCCACCTGTTTTGCAGAATGACATTTAAAAACGTGATTTTGCGCAGCGGTGCCACCCTGCCGCTGTAAAAACACTGTGGCTGGATGGCAACCAGTTAATTAAAAATTTTAAAACTCTTTTTCATAGGTCTTCTGACTGCTCTGGTAATGCAGATCTTTCCTCTTCTTGATGGTGACGGTGGGCAGTTCTTACTCTGAACAGCTCTCATGTAATAACATGTGAGTGCTGTTCAGTGCAATAGTGCTGTAGGCTTAAAATTTCAAGTCCTGAGCTACTAGCCAGGCCTTCAGAGTTACTCGCCACCAACAAACACACACAGAGACACTTGTACACACACGCACAGAGACACATGCACACACACATACAGACACATGTATACACACACAGGCACGTACAGACACGCATACACACAGATACATGTACATACACAGAAATACACACACACATGTACATACACACAGACACATGTACACACACATACAGACACATGTATGCACACACAGGCATGTACATGCATACACACAGATACATGCATACACACACACACACAGAGACACATGTACATACATACACACACAGAAACATGTACACACACGCACAGAGACACATATACAGACACATGTATACACACACAGGCACGTACAGACATGCATACACACAGATACATGTACATACACAGAAATATACAGACACATGTACATACACACAGACACAAGTACATACATACAGACACATGTACACACACAGACACATGTATACACACACAGACACGTACAGACACAGATACATGTACATACACAGAAATACACACACAGACACATGTACATACATACACATGTACACACAGACACATGTACGTACATACACACGTACGTACACACACGTACACACACATACATGTACATACACGCAGACACATGTACAGATACACACATGTGCATACACACAGAGATATGTACATGCATACACAGACACACACCCACCCCTATAAAAAGTTGCAGTACTTCGTTGTTCACTCACAGAGCCGGGTACTGCACTCTAGGGGGAGGCAGAGAGCACAGCACACACTCCTTCCTTTTCTTTCACTGCGCTCAGCTATTGAGCAGTCTGACGGCTCCCAGTGCCAATGACAGATCCGGCCTGAGCTCCCAGCCTGCTCAGCAAGACAGCCCTGGGGGACACACTCGCCCCCACCATAATTTCCACTCGCCATTGGTGAGCAGGCGAGTGGAAATTTCAAGGCCTGCTGTAGGGGGTGGGTCTATGTTAGCCAGGGCTTAGAGGAAGCGTACTGAATGACAGCCAGAATCCTTCAACCCAGAAAAGTAGTGCCATCTACTGGGGAAGGAAATTTCTGTGGGGGGCAGCACCGAATTGAAGGTGAGTATTGCTGCAAAAACTGCTCTTTTAACAAGTGCCAGGCTGTTTCTTTTTAAGTTTTAGTTCTGCTTTAATTACTAACTCTTTTGTCATGCTGGTGGACCATAAGAAATGTCCCCTAATATTCTTCACCAAAGCTCTGTAAAACAGGTAAAAATATTTTGCCTCCAGTGTATAAAAAAAAAAAATACCGTACCTTCTTTCTTTTTCTGGGTTTTGTTGTGGCAGTCGTCTCTTCCACCTTTTCCTTTGTTTTTTTTAAAATACATTCCTTGACCTACAAAATAATAAAATCGACTTTAGCAAAGTAGAAATTCCTAAGTAGAAAATTAGAAACAGTTTTTTTATATGAAGGAGAAATACAAGATTTGGAAAAGCCAAAAATATACCTGTTAATTTTTAAAACATTTTAATAGCACTCTACAGAACACAAACACTAATTAATGACCTTCAAAGCATTCTAAGATTTAACAATCTGAATTTCTGAGCTATAGTGAAGAAAAAAAAAGCGATAATTACATTAAAAAACCAGCACCATAATAAATAAAAAAAGAAAGGCGTGGGGGTCCCCCCACCCATCCATACCAAGCCCTTTAGGTCTGGTATGGAATTTGAGAGGAACTCCCACACCAAAATTAAAAAAAAAAAAAATGGCGTGGGGGGTTCCCCCCAAAATCCATACCAGACCCTTATCCGACATGCAGCCCGGCAGGTCAGGAAAGGGGGACGGGACGAGCGAGTGCCAACCCCCTCCTGAACCATACCAGGCCACATGCCCTCAATATGGGAGGGGTGCTCTTACCCACAACCCTGGCCGGTGGTTGTGGGGGTTTCCAAGCAGGGGTCTTATTGAAATCTTGAAGCCCCCTTTAACAAGGGGGCCCCCAGATCCCACCCCCCCATATGAATGAGTATGGGGTACATGATCCCGTACTCATTCACAAAAAACAAAAAGTGTGAAAAAAGACAAGACACGGTCTTTGACAGGTCCCGAAGGGCTTATATGGATGGGAGGGGGGACCCCACGCCAGTTTTTAAATTATTTTTTCAATTGCAGGCAATTCTTTTACATTCAGCTGTCAGTGGGGAACCCCGTTGACAGCTGAAATATGAACACATGGTTGTCACTACTAAAATACCACATGACTTGATAAAATAACTCATGTGGTATTTTTGTAGCGTTTACTTTTTTTCTGACCTCCGGAACGGATTAATTGGTTTTCAATGCATTTCTATGGGAATTGTTTGCTATACGAGAAGTCCTGCAGAACGAATTAAACTGAGGTATTACTGTATATATTTTGTAAAAGTGGGTTATATCAAAATCTACATCATCTGGCTCACCCAGAGTATTGGCTTTCAATTTTGAGGTGGGGAAAGCATTTTCCTCTGTTCGTGGGACATGTGGATTTTAGGGTTTTTGCCTTCTTTTAGATCAGCTTAATCGGGTAATAATATAAAAGCTTTTTTAGGCTGTGCATTATAAACATACACATTTTTTTAACCTGAGTAAGATTAAGATGACTGCATTTTCCAGCTGATATCAAATGCCAGTTGGCCATGTAAGACTTTTCAGAATTTCAGCTAATAAGATGTAAAAAAGTGTAGTCTGATGTGATAAGCAGACCTATGTAAGGACTCTTTAAATTTATGGATGACTTTGTCTTCCAAACACTGTATCAAGTATAAAATAAATCCCAGCTGTAACCACACCTATAAAACAGCCCCACTTTATGTATGAGTCTATACAGTACACAATCTCACATAGCAAACTAGCTAGAGCACTAGACGCTGGGATAAAAAGGTCTCTTCCTCCACTAATCTGCCACATCTGGTTATACTGCAAGTAGATTTTCATAATAGGCCTTAATAGAAAGCGTGCCGATTTGGCACCGGCTTGTTATCTGGAATAGCTCTTCCATGTATGTTTGAAGCGCAGATTGTTAAAACCAGTTTTCTGGTCTGTGTTCCGTGTAGGAAAATGTTATAGTGCACAGCCCTGAGGGATCCAGATGGAAAGCAAACATCATTTCATCAGCACTTACACTACACTGATTTGGGTCAGGCACAACAAGCCTCCTTATTACTGATGTAATACTGATGTAAGACATACACTTCCTATATAATGAGGTAGTGAAACTTGCCTGTGATACAAGGCTAACCCTAATGTTACTATCTAAAATGTTTTAAATACTTCTCAAATCCTTTATCATTTCCTGACTTATTCCAGCCACATGGACTATACAATTGTGCTGGAATTCATCATTTCCATAAACTGATTGCATTAAAGATATTTTAAAGGTAGTTTTCCCACAATAGTTTCTGTACTGTGGTGCTGCAGGAGTTACTGTAAAGACATGGTCATTAATTAAGGCAAAATTAAACCCAAGAACAAAAATACAATGTAGTGCAGCTTACAGTCCTTAAATATACTGGCTGACTGTTTTTAAGCCAAGATCATTTTCAGGAAATACAGAAAATACCTGTTTATCTTACCAGAAATACGGTGTTCTTGTCACTTCCTGTGAGCTGCACCATAAAATATCATCCTTCCTAGCTATCTTCTTTAAACTTCCAATTGCCTTATCCTACCGTTCCCCACATGTACTGGGGATGAGGAGATATAGACAGGTTTGTAGTCCAAATCAGGAAAGCACCCTTGGGGGTCATAACCATGGCTCCCTCCATAGACACAGGAACAGGATTACCAGGACAAAAAAAAAAGCTTGAAAAAAAAGAAAATGAATGCAGCCACCACACCATAGGCAAAGAAGAAACCATCTTAGCCTCTGTCTGATCTGCAGTTGCCACACTACTGCATATGTAAACCGTTATGACATCAGCCATTTGATGGCTTGATAGTTTTGTTGGGAGCACAATTTAGAGAAACAGTTAAATCAATGGGTTTAGTTTTCCTCTTTGAGGTGAAAAGTGAAGCCAAACAAAATTTGTTGGAGGTGACTATTAAAGAGAACGATGCAAATTTTTTGCCATATCGCAGGAAACTTGCCTGGAGAGGAGCTGTAGATGAGAACAAGGTAAGAAAGAGAAAAACAGAACAAGAACATGGTGGATTTCTGACATCCAGTAAATGGCAGCCAACCATGATGCAGGGCAGAACATTAACCTTAAGAAACTGATGTTTTGAGACAGCACAAACACATGTGAACAGCGGCAATCACAGGCTGGCACAGGTGGCACTGGCTGCAGAAGACTAGCACTCCCAGGAAGGGAAAGCAGTACAGCTGGCACTGGCTGAAAGAAGCAGCTACATTTTTTGGGAGAAATGCCAATAGCTTGTATGAGATCATAGCTAGGAACTGTGAGTCAGGTTGGTGTACAGAACTGGTACTGTCTCAAGGAGTGGATCACAATCAGAAACCAGGGTAGCTTATGGAGATTAGAATCAGGGAGCTGACCTCTACAGCTGGTCAGGAGATCTTTTGAAACTTTTGGCATTAAGCAGCTCTACATGCAATGTTATCCCTCAGCATAAAGATGAGATAAATTTGAGCTTGTTTGGGTATGAACTAGTGATGGGCCAAACACCCCCCTGTTTGGGTCGTGGTCGAACATTTGAACTTAACGAACGTTCGACCACAAATTTCAAACTCAATGCAAGTCTATGGGACTCGAACTTGTAAATTCAAAAGTGCCCATTCTTAAGTCTTATATGCACGTTTTTGGCCATAAAAGTGGATTTTTTTTAAAGTACAGTTTTTAAAGGGACAGTAATTTTTCATAAAGTACAAAAAATAAATGAATGAATAATTCCTTTAAATATCATACCTGGGGGGTACCCTTAAACTACCTGCAAAGTTGCACATCCGTACAATGTATAGAACCTGCTGCAGCAGGACTGACATTTCTTTTAATACATATTTATACAAAAAAAAGTGTCCCTCCAATCCACCAGACCCTTTCGGTCTGGTAGGAAGGTTAAGAGGGGACCCCACAGCAAAACAAATTTTTAAAAAATGCGTGGAGTTCCCCCTAAAAGCCATACCAGGCCTTTTATGCCTGGTAGGACTTATAAAGGGAATCCCACCTCCAAAAAATGGGGGAAAATAGTGTGGGGGGGGGTTCCCTCTAAAAGCCATAACAGGCCCTTTAGGTCTGGTAGGACTTTTAAGGGGAACCCCACCCCCCAAAAATGGGGGGGGGGGCAAGTGTGGGGTCCCTGCTAACTTCCTACCAGAACCTTTATCCGAACACAGGCCCGGCAGGCAAGAAAAGGTGGGGAGGGGTGATAATCGTGTGCCCCCCCTCCTCATGGCTCACCAGGCCATGTGCCCTTGGCATGGGGATTAGTGCCTTTTCCCCACAACCCTTGCCTGGTGGTTGTGGTGGTCTGCTGGCAGGGGGGGCTCATAAGCATATTTACATAAAGGGGCACCCTGATGCTGCCCCCCCTTTTGAATAAGGGGTACTTGTACCCCTACCTATTCACTAAAGGGTTAAATTGAGAAAAAATAACCACTCTAGACTTTTGAAAAATTCCGTTATTGATCAAAAAACAAAGAAACAGTTTTTCTGCTTATTTTTTTAAAGGGCGTTGGCGATGACATCACCACTAGCTCAGCCTAATTTTTGATTGCAGGTCTGACAGTTGCCAATCAAATGTACGCAATTGGGCGGAACTAGCGGTGATGTCTGGCACGCAAATGTCAGATTGCGGTGATTTCGGACTGGTCGGCGGGCATCAGGATTTTTTTTCTATTTCGGCAAGTCAGCGATGTTGTGACAATGCTGGACAGCATGATTGACGATGGATTACAACAATGGAACCATTTTTTGGGCTTTTTTTTTTTTTTCAAATAAAGAACTTTTGTTTTTTGTTCAATAAAGGAATTTTTCAAAAGTCTGGCGTGTTTATTTTTTCCAAATGTAACCTTTAGTGAATGGATAGGGGTACAAGTACTCCTTACTCATTCACAAGGAGGGGGGGTGGCAGCATCATGGTGTCCCCCTCATTTAAAGGGGTACCCTAATGCTCATGATTCCCTCGCAGACCCCCTCAACCAACGTACAAGGGTTGCGGGGAAGAGGCCCTTGTCCCCAGAACATGTAGCCTGGTAAGCCTGGGGGGGGGGGGGCGCTCAATCATTCCCCCTTCTTTCCTGTCCTGCCAGGCCTGTGCTTGGATCAAGGGTCTGGTTGGAATTTAGGGGGGATCCCATGCACTTTTTAATTTTAAATTTTTACAGTGGGGTCCCTCCTAACCTTGCTACCAGACCTAAAGGGCCCAGTAAGGAGTAAGGATTAGGGGGGGGGGCG